TACAATTAAGAAGCAGTACATGCACATTATTAATTAATAATAAAACAAAAAAAAATTAAATGTGACATCAAATGGATCTCCAACTCAGCATAATGCTGCGAAGGCTCGATAACCATTATGTCCCATCGGTTTTTTTTTATAGGATGAGGGTGACAAACGAGTACACAGTCCACCTGATGGTAAGTGGTTGCTGCGGCCCATAGACATCTACATCTATCCTCTATTACAAATCAAAATGTAGATGCGTTGTCACCCGTGAGGACTAAGATGGAATGCCTCATTTTCAGTAAAAAGGGCCTCCGGCCACCTGCACTCACCAAGCGAAACGCAGAGGTAAACCGCTACTTCACGCTGGTTTTCTGTGAGGTCGTGGTACCACCCCGGTTCGAGCCAGCCCTTCCGTGCGACAGCAAAAGCTGCCGCGTGGCTCTACCACTGTTAAATTGTAGGTCGAGCTATATAGTCGGATCATTGCTAATTCGACTTAGTGGTCCATTGGGCTAGGTCAGTTCATGTGACTCTACGGCACAAAGCAATCATTACGAACTCATGCAGAGAAACTCCAAGTATATCCCTTTCTCGCTGTGCGAGATATTTTTTTCTTATTTTATTGTTTTTCCCCCAATTAGGGTGTTTAATTAGGTAAATAAAAGGTGAATAAAATATTTTAAAAAATCTTTTGCTTTTAGATATTTTTTATTGAACGTATCTTGCAGTGCACACTGTCAGGTAAGCAACAATTTACATTATAAAAAGTACGTGTCCTCACAGATACAGTGCCAGGTTTATATTGTAACAAAAAATAGATTCTAATTGTAATTAATCAACAATTTTTTATCATATTTTATTATCAAATTAACAGTGTTATAATTATGAGATTACGTTATATAATCAAACAATACAAATTATTTGCTTTACAATACTATTTGGTATGATATGCATGAAAACAGTTGCGTTCTTCTACCAAACAAAGTCTTATTTTATATTTTTGACTATGAATTCGGGTTTGCCCTTTGGGCAATTTTTGCACCTGCCTTTAGTTTTAAATACTGGCACTACAGCGTCAATGGGTATCTCTGCAGCTGGTTTTTTATTAGGGGTACATTATTGCTGAGTTTATTGGCAGAAACGCCTCTGTTAAACAAAGGTAGGCTTCGATAAATTTCATACCTGAATTCTTTCAATGGCATTAATTTTGACTTATTTGATGCACCTTGCCGGTACATTAGCCAAGCGTTATTAACGCATATATCAAGGATTTGCGAAAACAAAGGTACCAGCGATGTCCCTTGAATTCTGTTCTGTATATATATAAATGCAATAAGCATATCCGCTAAATCCACGCCACCCGAGTTGTACTCCTTTATCATTCGTGGACATGGTACTGGTATTTTCTTTCTCAGTACTTTGTTATACCGTGGTACAGTTTGGAGAGGATGTTGCAAGCACATACGTAGACACGTATGTGCTTTTTTACCTTTTGCAAAAGTGGTCTAATCTTTTAGTGCTTGTCTCCATCATCACGTAGGTTATCGTTAAAACCTATATAGATATGTTCTGAATAATTGAAATTTATTTAGCGTCATGACATTCGCTGCTTTTTCGTAGTGAAACTTTTGAGACCAGAAATCTGTGTATGCTGGCATTTTAACGATACCTAGTAATATATTAATGGCTATAAAGTCTCGTACATCTCGCAAAGATGGAGGTGGAGAGCTACTGTCTGAAAGAGTTGGAGGGATATACTTATCCAACTCATCAGTCATCAGAATCATCACTGCTACCTAGGTCTGGTCTAGCTCCAGATTTTGGAAATAGGGTAAGAATTCTGCGGGCTCTGTTTTGTTATTGAAGCTTTTGATGTGAAATCTAGAAACAAACATTTATTATCGTACAGCTTATCTTAAATAAGTATGAGCATTTGTACCAAAGCATACATAATTACAAAAAAATACATCTATCTACTACAGTTACTGTACAAGTGTTACATAAATTCAATTTTTTTTTTAATTTATTTAAATGTGTTAATTAGGAATATAAAAAATCAACAATTATCTTTTTTGCATAGACATTGCATATTATTTTTTTTAATATGTACACATTCACTGATAAACTGGCAGTGTATCTTCATAGATACACGTCAAAATAACACTAGTTTTTTGCGCAGCTGTCAGTGTATACTCAAAGATACACTGAGTTGTAAAATAAAACATATAAAGTTTTGGTATCAAAAAACTACATCTAGGGATAATGTAACATTACTGCATTTACTTTCATAATATAAACATAAATACATACATAAACACTCACGCCTGTCACCCAGAGGGGTAGGCAGAGACTACGGACTTCCATTTGGCGCGATCCTGACACACCTCTCTCGCCTCTTTCACATCCATATATCTACGCATACACGCTCGTCGGTTAAGGGTACTCCTAATCTGGCCCATTTTCAATGTATCGCCGATCTGGTCGATAAACCTTCGTCTAGGGCGTCCCTTCCCGACCCTGCCGTTCACTTCTGCAACATAAATTTGCTTTGTCACTCTTTCCTCGTTCATTCTTTCTACGTGACCAAACCACCGAAGCATTCCTTTCTTAATCCTTGTCACAACGTCATCTTGCAAACCACACTTTTCTCTTATTACACTATTTCTCACCCTGTCATTCAGATTCAGCCCTAGCATACTCCTTAAGGAACGCATTTCTACAGCATTTATTCTACTCTCATGCTTCTTCTGCCAGACCCAACTTTCACTACCATACATTAAAGTGGGTACTAACACAGCATTATGAATTGCCATACGTGCCTTAGTTGACACATTCTGACTCCTCACAATAGCGTGTAGAGCCCCATTCACTCTATTTCCTGCGTTCACTCGTCGTTCTATATCCTTATCATATCTACCATCCCTGCTAAATAAACATCCCAAATATACAAACTCATCCACTTGCTCAATCAACTCCCCTTCTATTCTTATTTTACATAAAGTTTTACTTTCTTCTCTTTCAAAAACCATCACTGTCGTCTTACTTGCGTTCACTTTCATACCCCTTTCTTTCAATGAACAATTCATTAAAGTAACCATCATTTGCAACTCGGCCGCCGACGATGCAAATATGACTTGATCATCGGCGTACAAAAGGCATTTGACGGTTGACTCACCCATTCTCAACCCACATTCTTCAACTTTCAAAGTTTGCAAACAACTGTCCATAAATAGGTTAAACAGCCACGGGGAAGCCACACATCCCTGTCTGACACCTTTATGAATGCCAAACCAGTCCGAGTAGACCCCGTTGATCCTGACACAAGCACTAGAGTCCCTATAAAGAGACCTTAATGCCTGTATCAAGCCAGCGCTCAACCCAAATGAGTTCAGTGTTTGCCATAACACGTTCCTGTCCACTCTGTCATAAGCCTTTTCCAAGTCCAAGAACGCACAAAAAACTTTCTGGTTTTTAGCCAAAAACTTCTCCGCTATCATGCGCATGGAAAAGACTTGATCCGTACACCCCATCCCCTTTCTAAATCCAGCTTGCACATCCCAAATTTTTCCATCAGTTTCTTCCATAACTCTTTCAATTAACACCTTAGCATACAGTTTACCCACAATGCTAAGCAAGCTGATACCACGGTAGTTTTTACAGTCCTGCTGCGACCCCTTTCCCTTATATATTGGGACTATAACGGCTTTGCACCAGTCTTCCGGTACCCGTTTCAGTTCCCAACATAAATTAAACAAGGTGTGCAGCAGGCCTGCAACCACACCCTCACCAGCCCTTAGCATTTCGAGTGATACTCTATCATATCCGGCTGCCTTACCTGCTTTCATGCTTTTCATTGCTTTCATTATTTCATCTACACTTATCTCCCTACCTCTCTCCACTTCTTCCGGAATTTCTATTTCACTTATTTCAGACGACTCTTCACTCTTAAACACGCTTTCAAAGTATTCCTTCCATCTCTTTAAATTCGAAACTTCATCATTCAGCATGCAGCCATTCTCGTCTCGTATAGCATTCATTCTAGGCTGTTTTGAAATTCCCCTGGCAGTTCTTACGAGCTTCCAGAACATTTTAATATTTTCCTGGAAGTTATCAGATATCCTTCTATCATTTTTATCTATCCTTTCTTGCTTTTTCCTTTCAACAACTTCTTTTACTCTCTTATTTATACGTCTAAAGTTTGCCTTTTTTCTTTCAATCTCATCATTCATACCGCCAGAATTACCAGCTTTAGTTGCTAGTAAATCTAGCCATGCTCTCTTCTTTGCTTCAACTTCCATCCGTACCTCATCATCCCACCACAACGTATTACTTTTCCTTTCATTCGTTCTCTTACTTACACCGCATACTTCGGTGGCTGCATCCACCAGAACTCTCTTAATATTATTCCATACATTCTTCAATTCTAAATCATTCATACATAATTCATTCAACCCACTTATATTTTCCCTCAGTCTGCATTTATACTTCTCTTTCACACCTTCATCTTGTAACCTCTCTATTCTTATACGCTGTAACGCAGTGGTAGACACCGATGTCCGATGCCGCCAACGTCTGAATAGACCATTAATTCGGCATAAGACCAAGTAATGATCCGTCCCTACGTTGGACCCCCGGTAAACCCTTGTATCTACCACTGCGCTCCTCATTCTTTCATCCACAATTATAAAATCTATCATGCTTCTATCATCCCCTCTTTCCCATGTATACATGTGAATCCTCTTATGGCGAAAGAAAGTGTTCGCCACAAAAAGATTCTTTTCCACACATACGGTGAGGAGGTCTTCACCATTCTCATTTATTCTTTCATCGCCAAACGTTCCTAATATCCTTTCATAACCAGACCTCTTCACCCCCACCCTTCCATTAAAATCTCCTAACATAATAATATTTTCATTTTCCTTACATTTCATCAACACCAGCCTTACCATGTCCCAAAACTGCTCTCGGATATAAGTGGGCTTAGACATATCTGGGGCGTACACCCCTAGCACAAACAACTTCTTTAAGCCCACTTTCATTCGTATCCACAGCAGCCTTGGGCTAACACATTCATACTCTTTCACACATTGACCCATTCTTTCTGAAAGGATGACACCGACTCCCTGGCATGCCCGCTCGGTCTCGTCTACTCCAGACCAGTAAGCGGTATACATGCCATGTGCAGTGACATCTCTTCCCTTTCGTTTCGTCTCGTTTACACATAACACATCTATTCCTCTATCATTCATCATTTCGCATACTTCATCCATCTTATCATTCATTGCTCCACATATATTCAGCGTAGCCAGACGGGCCTCCGCAATCCACTTTTCGCCCCTCCGGGAGACAGGACGTGACGGGTGGCGAACCTCGTCGCCGGTTTTTCTCCCGGAGATTCTTCGCACCCCTGCCCCATTAAAGGGGCGCCGGGAACTCGGGGCCATTTCTTTTTCTACTAGGCTCATGGTGCGAACTAAGGGGGTGGTAGATTTTACGCCGCTACCATACGGCGAGGAGCCGAGTCTGTCGTTTCGACTTTGTCGCTCGTTTAGCACCACCCGGGGGACACGTGTAGGGTGGGCCTAGGATTAGGTGGTCGAAGCCTACGGACGCGAGCGACTCATCCCCCATCCATTTACTTTCACTTCAAATAATAATCAAAAAAGCATAGAAATGTAGCAAAATACATAATACTTACCGGCTATTGCGTAGACGCCCGCTTACGGTCCGCCATCTTGCGGGCTACTCACAGTTCAGTGCTACCATCAATAAAACTATAAATCCTACTAAATATCAGCAGTACAGTTCATAGACTAACTTATTACAAGAAAATGTATGTCAAAATTTGTTTAGTTTTCCTACAATAATTTTTAAAGAGCAGTGTATCCATTGATGCACTCTGCCAAGTTAAGGGACATACGGCGAACAATGAAGAGTCATAGAATAATATGTCATCACAGGCAACGCACCCTAATTGTACACTCTTTTTAAATTTTCAGGAATATTTAACCTATTATTATTATTATTATAAAAATAAATATTTGTTGATATTTTACATATAGGAAAATATACCATTCATCCGTCACCATTCACCTTTTCTGTCAACAATTAAACATAAAATTAAACTTAAAAAAGAAAAACCAAAGTCGGTTCTGAAACGTAGTGTATAGATAAATTAAATCCTTGACTTTAGAATGTTAAATTATTTTATTCCTTTTAGTTCTTTGAGTTAAATTTTTTGACCCTTTTGAGTGGACTAAATAATATCACAATATCAATGTTTAAAATTTCATCCCATTTGCCACCTGTGAGGTTATTTTTTTTTCTAAATGTATATGGGACTACAACTGAAGTATAACCTGCTTAATAAAAAAAGAATTATTAAAATCAATTCACAATTAACGATGACATCGTGTAACTTATATACATATTATGTCGCAGGTTGTCAAGTTTAAGACATGTTTTTAATTAAAAAGCCTAGGCTTTTGATCAAAAACCAGAAGAAGAAAGTTATTACTTAATTTATGATTTACTTGAAAAAATCATGTTTTTGATCAAAAACCTGAATTGGTTTAAGTTTATGATAAAATTTAAGCTTAGATTAAATAATGTTATGTTTTTTTTTAATCTTACTGTTTACAGACACGTGGTCCGTACGCTTAATTACAATAATTAATGTGAATAATTATCATATTACGTATTGAATCTCGAAGCTTATTTTATTATTTGTTAATTATTGCCATTTCTATTTTTTTATTTCTTTTCGCTTTTTTCTTTGCTTCATAAATTATGTATTTAAAAACTTAATTTCTAAAAATACTCTTACTAATTTATAACTAGAATTTGCAATAAAGCCATGTCACTTTAACGTCCGTTTGAAGGTCGTTACCACTTTTATTACATCACTTTGTCTTGGACCACGTTCATGGTGTAGTTGCAAGCCTCTAAGTCCCGATGTTGTATTACCATTTTTATGTTGTAATCCCTGAGTCTGCTTGTGGTCGCAGACTCGGCGCGCAAAAAGGGCAACTGCATCTTCCTCACACGAATCTGTGTAGTAAACGCAATTGCTCGTATGGCGCGAGATTGCCACCACTGCATGGGAAACACTGTTGTACAAGCGTTATTTTTCTTTAGCTGATCGCACATTTACCACATACTCGCTTACGAGCCCCTGAGCTTCATGTACGGTAAGGGTTCGCGACCCCTTTCCTTTTCCCTTAGTCCTGGCTGTTGAGGTTTAATGTATAATAATGCATTTTGAAGGGACTTTGGGATCTGTGAACCCGTGTACCACTTCAATACAAGTGATCTCTACCTAATATTGGAGTATATGCCAGTGTAAATCTCATTTAGTGTATACTCTACATCCAGTGGATTTCTGTGCGTGCAGAGCCATTTGTGGTTGATATTTTAGCCACTAGATTTGGACTAGTGTAGTGCAGTCGGAACAGATCGTGAATTTCGACATACGGCAGCTGGTTGTTCTCGCCGTTTAGGTTATGTTAGATCAGGTTGATTCGCCCCCCCTCCCCAACGGGTTCCCGCTTTATTGTAGTGAGGGGCTTAGTAGCCGTGGCTTGGCCACCCGTGGTGAACCAAGGGGAACCCACATGGCTGGCCCAAGGTGTAGGGCCGACCCAAGGTTGCCACTCCGAGTGGGTTTGGTAGGCTGCGCCGAGAGTGTTGGTATGGCGATGCGCTACTCGTCCTATCCTCCGCGACTCTGACGGAGCCGCAACGTTGATTGATGTGGTGGTGGTGGGGCTGCGGGGGAAAGGAGTGTCGTTATTGCGAGGCACCGGTCTCCCTACCCTCCGCAGCCGAATCTTTGTTAGAGGTGGAGCTATAGACCAGATCCACCGCTGAGCTCAGTAAGGCTAGTGCTTTTGAGTGCTCGTTTTCTCTGGCCCCATGGCCTTCACGCATCGGACACGGTGGCGTCTGTTACGCAGACGAAGTTGCAGGCCGCGGAGGAAGGTACGCCATGTGTTCTGGTGCGCCTTACCTGAAAAAGAGAGGGGAAAGGAGTAGTCCTCTCCCAAGGAGTGGCCGCCATAGGGCTGCCGACGCCGGTGGGGCCGTGGATGTGTGCGAAAGCGCACGCATACCCCTGCCAATATGCGACGAAAGTGGTACACCATGGGGTTTTAGTCAGTGCGAGTCCGATATAACCCATGCCCAATGTCCCCGTAAAACAAAAAAAAATTAATTTTATCATAAAACTAAACTAATTCTTCAATCAAAAAACTGATTTTCTCAGGTTTACGATAACATGAAGTAGTAATTTTGTCTTTTTCATAATTTTATCATAAACCTGCGACATGTACAAAGAAAGAAAAAATACAGTCAAATTGTAAATCTCCTCCTTTCTTTGGAAACTCCGTTAAATAGCGGCATTGTTCTACATGCCGGGTACAGCCATTTTTTTAAATTATTACCATATTAAACCAGTGCTTAATTACAATCCCACCCGGCGGTAAGTGGTGATGAAGTCCTAATGGTTAACCGCACGTCTTAGCGTAACACAAGCCTATTTAGTCTAGCCTTGAAGATACTCATATTTTAACAATGGGACGGAAAGATATATGCTAGCAAAATTATTCCACTCATTTGCTGTACGCATTACGAAAGACGAAGCAAACCGTTTGGTTCTAATGCTTGACATATCAAATGGCTGTCCGATAGTAGAGTTTTAAATAAAACTAACTTTAAGGATTTTGATTCGCGGAAACCAAATCCCTTATTCTATATTTAAATTTTATTATCTTATGGTGTCATGTTTTTTTTTTAATTTCAGTCAAACATTACATTTACTAAAATTCAAATAACGATAAAATTAAGGCAACTATATTTAGATACATATGACCGCAAATTATAAATCTCTACGATAAGCAAAACGATCTTTATAAGGACTAGAATGATATTTCACTGTCGTATTAAAGACGATAATATATGTTAAGCTTTCTTTTGTCAACCATATATAAAACTTTTCAATAAAAAAATCTCGCGAATAATGAATGTTGTACATACAGCTTTATTTATTCCTTGTAATCTACTTACTTGCGAGCTATAGAGAGGGCTATGCTCGGCGTATCTTTGCGTGATAGATTTAAAAACGAGGATATCCGCAGTAGAACCACAGTAACCGACATAGCCCAAAGGATTAGTAAGCTGACGTGGCAATGGGTCTGCCACATAGCTCGAAGAACCGACAAACGATGGGGAAGAAAGGTTCTCCGGTGGCAGCCTCGTACGACAGGCGAAGTGTAGGGCGTCCACCCACTAGATGGAGTGACGACCTGGTAAGACATGCAGGGAGTCGATGGATGCACGTGGCTCAGGACCGTGCTTTGTGGCATTCCTTTGGGGAGGTCTATGTTCAGCAGTGGGCTGTAATGATAATGATGAATTTTTTATTTGTCAATTTAATGCTTAAAACCCTTTTTAACATACTATCAATACTGTTAATATTACTAATATGTCCATAAACCTGGTAAGCTTAAACCGCTTGTGTTATGAATCTTATATGACAATAGTCGGACAGTGCATTGGAACCCACAACTTTTTGAGATCACGGTCCGCACACTACCCATTAGGCTAGTGTCGTTTAAAACGTAAAAACTTAAGTATAAGTGAAATTGCATCCTATATGCGTCCTCGTGGCACAGGCCTCCTTTCCTTTCTGTGAGGGTTATGAAGCGATTAGTAATTCAATCTGCTCCTTCCTTGTAGCTGAACTTCAAATGTCATACAAATATTTTTTATTCCTCAGCTATGCAGGTTTCCTCACGATGTTTTCCTTCATTCCCGAGCACGTGGTAAATAAGCACTAAAAATTGCAGTACACAATTTCATTGATGCCGGCGGAGCTCGAGATCTGGTGCAACACAGCTGTCTCAGATGGGGTGATTATCCCTTCGCACTGGTCAAGTACGTGTTAGTGAATAAAACATGTCCTACATGTCAGGCATACTACAGGGTTTTCTTACTATGTTTTCATTCACCACCGAGCACTTTAAATCAGCACTTAATAACAGGTTCCATACCGTTCCGTTGCCTACTGCGAAATTAACAGTGAGCGATTAGTCGCTAACCGTGTAGTTGCGGCGTAGGAATACGAGTATCTACTATCCCACATCGTCCCGTGGGTGTCGTAAGAGGGGACAGTACTTAAGTAAAACTGCAGCATCTTCCTGATAACAACTCAAAATAAGAAAAAACTGCGAGTAATAGCGTGGCAACTTTGTCA